CCTCAGACTCAGGACCAACCTGTCCCTCAGACTCAGGACCAACCTGTCCCTCAGACCCAGGACCAACCTGTCCCTCAGACTCTGGACCTACCTGTCCCTCAGACCCAGGACCAACCTGTCCCTCAGACCCAGGACCAACCTGTCCCTCAGACTCTGGACCTACCTGTCCCTCAGACCCAGGACCAACCTGTCCCTTAGACTTTGGACCTACCTGTCCCTCAGACCCAGGACCAACCTGTACCTCAGACTCAGGACCAACCTGTCCCTTAGACTTTGGACCTACCTGTCCCTCAGACCCAGGACCAACCTGACCCTCAGACTCAGGACCAAACCAGACTGAACTCCAGTTCAACTTCCGGTGCTGACACTTCCGGTGTGACGTCATACAGCACCGCAGCGCAAAGCACGCTGGGATGTGTAGTCGTCTGTTCGGTGCAGCAGTCGGTACGTGGGACCAGAACCAGCAGCCGAACGGACCACCTGGACCAGCAGAACCCCCCTGAACGCGCGAGCTACCTGCACACACGCGCGCACGTGCACGGGCGCGCTCTCATTCACATGCAGACCGGAGCCGACATGTTTTGCTGGGGGGTCCGGAGCCCCTCCGCGGTGGTCTGTGGTTCGTCCTGCGGCCTGTGGGGCTCAGGTGGCGGGTCGTGTGCTCACCTGTGCACGGCCTCACCTGCGGCGCGCACGCGCTTCATTTAACCTGTAGAATAAGCAGAACTGAAGCAGTTTTTGCGTGTCTTACCACTCAGAGACCCCTGCTCGTCCTCTGCTCCACTGCTGCCTTCAGGGTCCTCTCAGAGGGGCGGAATTCACATGCACACCACGCAGAGCCGGACATTTCCTTTAAGACTTCTACAATAAATACATGATCTGATTACTAACTCTAAACCTTTATTTTCATTAGTCTGAAGACCTGATTTGTTTTCAAACGTGTTTTAAATCAGACAAAACCATCTACCTGAGGGTTAAACAGTCAGGTTATTAAATGCTCAGTCACATGAACCCATTTATTAAAATGGCCGCCCTTTTAGACAACATGCTGACCTGTTTTCACTAAAACACATTTTGCTCAGTAATTCACGTGGGTTTCACAACGATCAGCACAGGTAACAAGTTTGAAACACAATTAAAGCACAAGTGTCTCAACTTAAACACAACAACTCTAAATGGATCACACACGTGTCTAATGATGTGAACAAACCAATAAAACCAGTGCAAGGAGAACTGGTTGTTGAAGTTTCACTATGGAGAGAAACAATCAGAGAGGGGGTCTGAGAGTAAGAGGGGGTGGAACAGGTGGGATAAGACAAAGAACAATTGTTTCAGATGAAATACGAGCTGCTGTCATCGATCATGTTTGAGTCCACAGACTGACAATGACAGAAGCAGGACTTCAAGTTCAGCCCAACCTAAGTCCACCAAAGTCCAAAGTTTCAGAGAGAACAGGTAACTGCTTTGTTCCTAACTGGCATATTTACAAAATGACTCCATGTGGTTCTGTAAAATGGTATTTCGTTATAGAACTGAATTTTCCTTTATACGTTATAGGCCTAGTACTACATGTAGTATTTCGTAATTGCATGTTTGTTTGTTTTTTTGTAGAATTGCAAGACTGCCACATCATGGAGGGAGGACATCTATGTTGTCTCCACACCAAGAGATCCTCATTGTTGACATGGTCCATCAGAACAAACAGAAAATCATTGAGGACCATGTGAGGTCTGAAGGCATCGACAGTGTTTCCACCATTCATCGTGTCCTAAAACCCAACAGTATGAGGATGAAGCAACTGTAGAGTACCCTTTGACCCTAATTCAGAGAGGGTCAAGGAGCAAAGATTCCAGTTCAATTCAATTTATTCATATATCTCCAAGTCCCAACACACGTTGTCTCAGGACACTGTAGATAAAAAGAACAATGTAAAGAAGAAAGCAGCAGATTGTGTTGAATCACTTCATCACAGTCTCCCATCCTGAGCAAACGGTGGAGAGGAAAAACTCCCTGCTAATCAGGAAGAAAGCTCCAGCAGAACCAGGCTCAGGACAGGAGACCTGTCAGTATTTGTCAGTATATGTCAGTATATGTCA